TAAATTGCTAGTAGTAAATGTACAACAAATGGAACTACTGGTTGTATTGCATTAGGTGCTTGCTCATCTTATACTTCATAAGCAGGATGTTATTTCAATGATAAGGGAGCTGTTTATACATCTGGAGTCATAACTTCAACTGGTATTTGTACATGGGATACAACAGCTAGTAGTTGCAGAGATTAATCATGTGCTGATTTGACTGGAATAAACCATGCAGCATGTTCTTCATAATTATCAACATGTACTTCTGATGGAACAACTTGTTTAGTCAAAGGAGCATGTTCATCATACACAACTTAAACTGCTTGTACAACTGCTGTTGGATCTGATGGTGTATGTTATTGGGAACTTGCATCCGCTACAAATAATAACACTGCTAAATGTAGATTATTAACTTGTCCAGATATTTAAAATGGTACAGCCACCAATGTTTGTTCAGTAGCTTTGTCATCTTGTGTTTCAGATGGAACAGCTTGTATTACAAAAGCTAATTGCTCAGCCTATAAAACTAAGGTAGCATGTAATTCAGGTGGATTAGATGGTATTTGTGTATTCACTTAATCAACTGCTACAGGAGCTGTTGCTGGTACTGGAACATGCTAATTAATGACAGCATGTACTACTGCAAATAATGATTAAGTTGCTTGTTAAGCTGCTAGAGATAGATGTTCATGGACTGCAGCATCAGGAACTGGTGCAACTGCTGTTGCTAGTAAATGTGCTACACATACTTGTGCTACAAATTAAGCAACAAATGGAGCTTGTACAAGATTCTTGAATTGGGATAGAAAGACTTAATAAGTTTGTACTCTTGTTAGTGGAACATGTACAGCCACAGACCCATCAACTTTGTCATTAAATGATTGTTTCTTGGTGTCTGGATATACATATACTTGGAATGCATCAACAAGCAAATGTGGAGTTTGCACTGCACCTGTTGTTTAACCAAATAATACAAATAATAATACAAATAATACAAATAATGAAACAACAACCGATTCAGGATACATTCTTGGATTATCAACAATCATTTTTGGATATCTTATGTTCTGATGAAAATGATTTTATAAATTTATATATTGGTTTCCATGAAATTTTAATCAATTTAAAATAATAAAACCTAAAAGTAACTTTATGATATTATGATTAAAGAAAAAATATTTAACTTCTGATTTTAAATCAGTAGAACGTTTTTAGAATACATTTGGATAAAATTCAATAAGACAAGAATGATATAATGTATTTTTTATTATCTGAATGAACTTATTTTTTGATCTCAAAATGGTGGTCTAAAAAATATCAATCTTTAAAATTATATTAGAGTTGAAATGAAATTAATCAATTTTTTTTAAATTAGATTTTTATAGATATTTTTGAATAATATTTCATTTATTGTAGAAATGTAATGAAATAATTACTTTAAACATATGGGAATTTTTAATGTAATAATGAATCAAGTTTACATCTTATTCATTAATGAATCCTCAATACTATAAAATTATATTATAAAATACTGTATCTTAAGAAGTATTGCAATTCCTAAAAATTAGAGTTTCATATCTATAGGTTTTAAGTTAACAATTAAATTTAATAACAATTATTCTAGGAGAATTATATATATCTATAAGTTAGAATATAAAAATTATTTATCATTAGCCTTTTATGATGAGCTCAAATAATTCTATGTCTAAAATAGTATTGTTAATTATTGTTCTATTACTATCATCTGAGAGATATTAGATTTGATTTTTGTTCAAAGATCAAAGTGTTAATTTATAATATTTAATAATGGATTCATTAAATTTTGATATCTTAAATATGGAGCCTATTTCAATATAAATCTAATTGCTAAAAGTAATTTTATTAAATAATTAAAGATCTAATCTATATAATAAACAATTTTTAAGGATCAAAATAAGTGCATTTAAATTAATTAATTATAATACTATTTAACATAAAGAAATTTCTATTATAATTTTTAATAGTTAACATTTGATTCTTATTAAGATTAAATTATAAAAGAAATTTTTTTTTGAAAAAGAATGACTTAAATACTCTAATTTTAATAATATAATTCATTCTAATTTTAATATGGTTTTAAAGAAATTAGGATTCTATAAATCTTATTATTTATAATTAATTATCTCTTTTTGTGTAAGCAATTCAAATATTTTTTTCCAATTCTTTAGACTCCTCTTCATTGTCTCATAAGTGCCAAATATATATTGACAATATTTTGCTCTGGAGAGTGCCACATTAGTTCTCTTCTTATCAGTTAAAAAACCTGCCTATTCATTTGATCTTACAAGTGATAAGATGATAATTTCATTTTCCTTTCCTTAAAAAGAGTCAACAGTGTCTAACTCTATTAAATCACTTAATTTTATTTTTTTCTTTCTACCTTTCTAATCAGTTTGCTCCTGAAATATTTCATTTTATAATTATTAAAATAAATTCTTCTTTTAAGCTGCATAACCACTAATAACCGTAATTTGATTTTTATATTATTATAAATCTAAACCCTCTAATAAATATTTAATTAAACTAATAATGGCTTAACATTCTAAATCATTCTTTCTACTTGTTTCCTCTCTACTTTCTGTTTAAGAAGGAGCACTGAAAAATAATCTATTTTAACCTTTAGACACTTTCTATGATATCCAAGTTGGGAATTACATATTTTCATTACCATTCTTAATAATTTTATCATAAAACAATTCTGATGTAATTTCAGCTAAATTATCCATTTGTCTGTATTAATAAATCAATTAAGTAGTACTTTCTGTTAATCCCGCTGCCAATCTCTCAAATAAAGATCGATTATAACCAAAATTTTTTGATTCACTTGCTACAACAATAGGACTTAATTATTTTAAATCACCTAGTAAAACAATTTTCTCAATTTTAGGATATTTCACCATAGGAATCAATAAAGCTGGTTCAAGTGCTGTAGGTGCTTCATCAATGATACACATTCGAAAGTTAACTTCTTCAAAATATTTTCTTAAACATTCTTTTGAGCAACTATTTAATGTAGACACTACTATGTGACACTAATAATCGTTATATTCATATATTTTACTTTTTATAAATAATTTTATTCAATCTCTTCATATTACTTTTTTTCTGTTTATAATAATTTTGATAAATCTTAATAAAACTTACCATATGCATTTAATATTTCTGAATCTTTACAGTATCTATTAAGATCATCGATATAATTTAACAATGAAATTAATGTTATTTATTATTTATTAAGGTTTAAATACTCTTAATGATCATCAATTTTATTCTTATTCATTAGTTAATTTATTTTTTCAGTTATACATTATTTTTCTATCTCTTTTATTTTTTGTCTAAAAAGTTAAAAGAATTAATTTTGAGATTAGATTTCTAAACTATGTTATTCTATATCTTAATCACATAAATTTGGTCTTCCAAACCGAACAACTTTCAAGTAATCTGGTTTTTATTTAAAACAATATATAATTGAGTTCTATTCTTAAATATTTTTTTGAATCTTTCTTACTAAATCATTGACTACACTATTGGATTTAGCTAAGATTAAAATTGCCCCTGTCTTTTCATTCTCCTTGTAAATTAACATTTCTGCCATAATTGATATGATTCCTATTATTGTTTAAGTTTTACCAGTTCCAGGAGGACCCTTTATAATAGTAAACTTGGATTAAATATTATTATTACCCTTTTATGAAAATTTAAAGCCTTTTTGATAGCAAGTATTTGTTCTTTGTTAAAATGTTCTGTAAATTCTTCCTTTTAAGTATAAAATTCTTCTTATTATTCTACAAGTTCAGCAAATTTAGAAGTTTGGACATTATTATTTTCTTCTATTGGATTCAATATCAATTGATAATAGGGACATTTATCTAATTGAAATAGGCATTCTGTTTCTGTTCTATATGCACTTAAAGCACAGATCGGTTGAAAATAAATTTTTGAGTTGTTTACTAATGTACCTAATGGGAAATATAATGTTATGCTATTTGGAAGTATTAAATGCTGTTCATTATCTTTATTTTTAAAGATTGCCAAAGATATCAAATATTATCTATAATGATCTGGATAATCTGGATCCAAAATGTATATTGCACCAATGTATGAAAATGACTCTTTGAAAACCAGGTAATCAGAATAATGCCTATATTTCCATAATTCTTTTTATTTTATCATAGGATCCTGTTTGTCTATCTCAGATTCAATTTTCACTTCAATCGCGGCATTATTATCATTATTAAAATTACTAATTCTCAATGTCAATGGATATGATTCTTTATCTAACAATCTTTCAAAAAAGCCCTTTTCATCTCTAGCTATAGATCTATAATATTCATTTTGAAGAAGTGGAAAAAATAATTTTGAATACTAATGTGCTGAATCAAATTTTCGATATCCATATAAATTTTTTAGTCCTTTTCCGCGTTTAGCCTTTTTGAAGGCTAAATTAGATATTAAACACATGGGACTTTAGTATTAGGAATAATTGTTAATCATTTTCTATAAAAAATTTATTAAAAACTTCAAAAAATGTAGATTAAGAAAATAATCTCTTATGTTAAAACAAAAATTAACATTTAAATTATTTTATAATTAATGAAAAAAAAAAAAATATTTAACTTTGAAATTAAGACTTTATTTACTTTAAATGAACAAAATTATATCAAGCTTTTTCCAAATAGGCTTATTTAAGTAAAATTTAGTTTATTAGTTTAAATCAACTTAAAAGTATTTAAAAATTAAAAAGCTTAAGTATAATAATAGATTAACATAGAATATTAATAAAATGAAACTACAGTAATAAAAATAATTGATTATATAGGCATCAGCATCAAGACCATATAGATATCATAGTTTATAAATTGATTTTCTTCTAAATAATTGAATAAAATATGGGATTATTTAATCAAGTAATGTGAGGAAGATGCTTTAAAAGGAGTATATATCAAGATTAAATACATTTATTACTAGAAATTCAACAATTTTATTGATTTCAATTAAAATTTAAGTATATCCTTATTTTAATATTATGCTAATAGTTGACTGGAATCTATTGATATTACAATGTCAAAAGAAAATGATCAACTATCTTACTTTTTATATTGAAATATTATTTATAATCTTGATGGAAAGATCTCTCTCTATCTTTCATTGAAAGACCGCTCAGTTTTTTTAATATTCTAAATGAAATTGTTCCTATTAAATCTACAAAACCACCTAAAAATAGTTACGTTATATAAATATAAATTCATTTTTTTTATGTTTTGATTACCTGAATCTATTATGTATAAATTATAATCTTTATCCTCTTAAGAGTTGCTATATGGATAGCAATTTGTACCATAATGAGATTATGTTTCTTCAAAACATAACTTATTTTGATTAAAATTGGAGAGTCTCTTTGAATATATCTAAATGTCTAAATGACATTGAGGATTTTATTTTGAAGGATAAGTAGATATTAATCATCTAAAATCACAATTTATATTAAATAATAAAATTGAGTATTGGTCATGCAAAAGACAAAGACTGAGAAATTAAAAAAATGAACATATTATTTTAAAATAAACTTAAGTGAGTTTTTTATTAAAATAATTTATGTTTCTAAGAATATATTGGAATTTGTGAGAATCAAACAATTATAAAATCACTAGTAAATTATCTGTAATTGAAATTTCTCTATTTATTGATTAGGAATCAAGCTTATAGAGTATTTAGAAAGAGAAAAAGCACTTAAAATTAAATAATGCATCAACTTGAAAATTAATAATTGCCTTGGGATTTCAAACCAATTATCTTTTTATTTTTAAATATATATATCACAATCTCTTCAATATCTATTTTAATTAAGACTTCTTTTATAATTAGTTCTTCTTATCATACTAATGAATAAATTTTTATTGCTTCTAATTTATAGCTCTATTTAAAGAATCGCTCACGTTAGCTGAATATAGTAAAAGGGCAACTCTTTAGAATAGTCTATGCTGGATTAAAATAGGATGAGATATGAATT